GAACAGAGTCTGGCCCCATCCTCCTGACACCCACCCTGCAGATATTTAGAGGCATTTATTAGGTCCCCTCGCAGCCTTCTCTTCTCCAGGCTGAGCAAGCCCAGCTCCCTCAGCCTCTCCTCCTAGGAGAGATGCTCCAGTCCCCTCCTCATCCTCTTAGCCCTCCACTGGACTCTCTCCAGTAGCTCTTCATCTTTCTTGAACTGGGGAGCCCAGAACTGGACACAGTACTCCAGATGGGGCCTCCCTAGGGCAGTGTAGAGGGGAAGGAGAACCTCCCTCGACCTGCTGCCCACACTCCTCCTAATGCACCCCAGAATGCCATTGGCCTTCTTGGCAGCCCAGGGCACGCTGCTGGCTCACTTTGCCCTTCCCAAACCTCTGACACCTGCCATCTCCTTTGGATTTGCCGGATCTGTTTTCTGGGTATCTCTCCTTCAGCAGCTCCTTTCCTTAGTCTTTATTACTGGCAAGCCCAGCTCGTAGGTAAACGTTGCCATGCCTTTAGCGGAGGCATGGGCTGGTCCAAACCAGAGCAAGCAGCTGCAGTTCTGTGATTAAATCACCACTTTTTGCCCTGCTGGGGGAATTAGTGGTGATTTCCGAGTCGGTCGGCAAAGTGCTTAAACCCAAGCTTAATTTTAAGCACGTGAGCAGGCTGGTGGAAGTCAGTAGTAACTTCGTATGTGCTCAAGTGCTTTGCTGGGTCGGGGCCCCGGCTGGCGATGCGGGGAGACGAGCTCAGGGGGAGGTTTCCAGACCTGGGAGCAGGCAGCCGGGGATGGACGGGCGCGGGGAGGGATCCAGCAGCTTCTCGTGGCCTCTTGCAGCCGGCGGTGGACGGCGGCTGGGGCCCGTGGATTTTTTGCCACTGCGACAGCCCCAAGCCCCAGCACGGCGGCAGCTACTGCGAGGGCCAGCGCGCCAGGTACCAGTCCTGCCACACCGACGAGTGCCCGCCGGACGGTAAGCCCAGCCTGGCGAAGCCGCTCATCCGCGCCGCGAAAGGATGCGATTCCCGACCGCGCTCTCACCTCCCTCCCCCCAGTTTCTCCAGCACCCGTCACCGTTTCTCCACTCTCCCTTGAATATTCGTATTTTGGGGGAGGGCAATAGCTTTCTGCTGGGGGTTGTGATCCCCTCCAGATGGGTGGGAGGTGCGTGGCATCCCTCTTCTGCTTGCACTCCGCTGTCCTCGTCTCGCTCCCGCATCTCCGCGAAGCAGAGGAGGACGGAGGTTCCTGCCGGCTTCCCGCAGCTTTTGGCTCACGTTTTGCCTTTGCTTTCAGGGAAAAGCTTTCGGGAGCAGCAGTGCGAGAAGTACAACGGCTACAACTTGACAGATCTGGAAGGGAATCGCCTGGAGTGGGTTCCCAAGTATGCAGGAGTATCGCCCCGAGACCGATGCAAGCTCTTTTGCCGAGCCAGAGGGAGGAGTGAATTTAAAGTCTTCGAGGCCAAAGTAAGATACTCGGTGATGCTAAGCTGCCCTACCTACCCCGTTTCAGGTCAAATGCCCTAATTGCTCCCCTGCATCCCCCTGCATCATCGTAGGTGATCGATGGGACGCTGTGCGGACCGGAGACCCTCTCCATCTGCGTCCACGGGCAGTGCATCAAGGCTGGCTGCGATCACGTCGTCGGGTCCTCCAAGAAGCTGGACAAGTGCGGGGTGTGCGGCGGCAACGGCTCGACCTGCAGGAAGATATCCGGCTCGCTCAACCGATCCAAGTAAGGGGAGAGGGGGTCTGCAGAGGTGGGCCGTGGGGAGAAAAACCCTCCCCGAGGAGTTCACACCATGAACCTCTCCCCAGGATGTATTTCCAGGGCTGATGTGGGATATAAACAGTTCAATGGCTTTTCCCTGGGCTCGGGGGTGAGGTTCAGTCCTGGGACACAGGCTGTAGAGGACCTTGTCCAGGTGGGTCTTGAATATCTCCAGAGAAGGAGACTCCACAACCTCCCTGGGCAGCCTGTTCCAGTGCTCCGTCACCCTCAGAGGGAAGAAGTTCTTCCTCATGTTCAGATGGAACTTCCTGTGCCTCAGTTTGTGCCCATTGCCCCTTGTCCTGTCACTGGGCACCACTGAAAAGAGCTTGGCCCCATCCTCCTGACACCCACCCTTCAGATATTTATAAGCATTTATTAGGTCCCCTCGCAGCCTTCTCTTCTTCAGGCTGAACAAGCCCAGTTCCCTCAGCCTCTCCTCGTAGGGGAGATGTTCCAGTCCCCTCATCATCCTTGTAGCCCTCCACTGGGTGTTGAGGCGGCCGCTTCCCTCACCCAAGACCTCCGTTGCTTTGCCAAAGAGCTGAATTTCAGGCTTTTGTTGAAAAGATCGGTAGCAAAAGCCCAACGTGTCCAATTTTTGTGCAGTGAGGTGACTCACACAGTCGAATTACATTTCCCAAATGGTTTCCTTCCAGGGAGACAGCTGAAATGGGGCTTCCAGTCTCCTGTGAATTGTTTGTGGCTGGCTAAAGAGAGATTAGCGTGGTAGCTACAGCATCGTGCTGGTGGCTGCAAAACCCTCCCAAATGATGAGCCCAGGGTGCAGAGCCCTCCGCCCGTGGACAGGGCTGGCTTCGCTGCCGTAGTACTTGCCATCTTCTAGAAAAGGCTTCTGAGTTAGTATCAAGTCATATTTTTTAGTCCCAAACACTTCAAAAGAAAGGGAGTAAGGGGAATTTCTCACCAGGGCTGGCAACCGTGGGGCTGTTTGCTTGATTGCGTCGCTCTTTTTCACATGTAATTCAGCAAAATCTTCCAGTTGAGCACACATCTGCCACGACTGCGATATTTCCAGCTCTTGAGCACCCTGGGTGACAGAGAGGTGGCTGCAGAGCCATGATCCCACTCGCCAAATGCCATCCCCTCCAGCAAACTAACCGCATCCCTTTGCCCTGTGCAGATACGGCTAAAAAGAAACCGTCACCACACCCTCCCCGG